AAGGTAACCATGACTTTGAAAGTAGTATTCTTAAATACCTTTGTGATTTTTAAGGTATACTTTTCTGGGTTGTGTATGTGTAATTAGAGTCAATTTTTTTTTGTATGACAGTAAACATTTATATAGTGTTTAAACAAGCAGAAAGTTCAAATGATGATAATTTTTCTCCTCTTCTTAAAAAAGAGAGAATTGACAGCTAAACAAGCAGCTACCAGTGATTTATTTTTCAAAAAACTATTTCCAAGGCATACTATAGAGTCAGTATAGATTCAACCCAGTCGTTCACACCTCCTATATGATTAGTACTGTATAATAATAGCTGATGTTCATAATTATGACCTGGAGGCCCTGCAAAACCAGGAAGTGACTTCTGAATCATTAAAAAAAGATTAGATTGTGTTTAGTATAGTTTTGTATTAAGGAGAGTTCACAAGTGCTATTTTAAAAATTGGTAATGTGTATGTGTTACACATACATGGCAATTTGCCCACAACACTCAATTATACAGAATGCCATAATTCCAGAAAAATGGAAGTCTTTGTTCTGTTTTTTAATGACTGAACTATGAATTAATTTTTATCATCGTTTCCCCAGCTTTCAACAACTTGTTTAAAGGTGAGTTTTCTACTTCTTTATATGAAAAAATCATTATCCTTTGCATTCTGCAAAAGATTGCTTTGTTTGAAAGTATTCAAGTTCACTTCAAGAGAAACATGAAATCTATGCATCACTCAAAATAAACTATCTTTTGGTTCAATTTTGAAAGGATGGTGAATGGCTGGTATATATGTCATCACACAGTTAAACAGCATGTCTCATGACTTAACAGGTGTGCAGACAGATGCGACCTGTTTATTATATTTTATCCCAACTCTTAAAAATCTCACCATTGCCAGAAGGCCACTAGACACCTGTACAAAATTTAAACCAAAATAAAAGATGGAATAAAATCCAGCATTAAACAGATTTTAATTCATCTACTTCCCTTCTTATGATTAAAAAAACCTCCAGAATTTCAGATTCTCAGATACTTTAATAAGTCATGTGTGTGTGTGTGTGTGTGTGTGTGTGTGTGTGTGTGTGTGTGCGCGCGTGCACGCACACATTTGGCAGGCAGTCATCCAGAAGAACATTTTTATTTTTCTTAGGCTTATAAAGCTACTTCTAGTTTAGGGGCCTCACAATATAGAGGTCTCCATTTCCATTGTTGAAAATAAAGGCATCATCAGATTGTAGAAATAGGCATGTTTATGTGTATAATTGTTTTGTACAAAAGAAACACATAGATGTGTGTATGTGTATTTGTCCTAGTAAAGCTATGTCTCGATAGATAGCCCAGATATGATTGAGAAGATAGAATGATCTCAAACATAGGAAAAAAAACAAACTTCATTTAGAATTTAAAATTAGTAATGCTAATTAAAATTATTTTTGAGTTTAAAAAATGTGTTATTCAAGACTTAAAAATGACTTTTATCAACTTCATTATTTTAAAACTTTTTTTTAAAAAATTCAGTCTTAAAGAATGCTAACAATTCTTTTTACGTCTCCTTTTTAGAACAAGTACATTAGCTCTGTCAAAATGCACACTGGCTAGGCAGTTGAGCAAATATTTTCATTTAGATCATAATATAAACAGGCTTTTCATGCTTGTTTAAATTTTTCATGTGATAAAACAGTAAAAATATCATAGGGTGAAATATCAAAGTAGAAAATGTTATCATCAAAAAATTTCCATGCAAAATACCAGTCTGGTGAAAATTAGGAACTATTGTTTGGAGAAACCAGACAAAAAGAATTGAAGAGAGTCTAGTCTTCCACAGAAAACATTCTGACTTTTTGTGTCTGAAGAGCTTAGTCTTAGTAGGAGCACTCATTCTGACTACAAGGGGGCAAGAGAACTTATTGATATAACCAAATAAAGTAGAGAGCTTTAGAGATTAAAATTAACACCTTGGACTGCCTACCACTCAGAAGTGAATGGATTCCTAAGCTGACTACAGAAGATAATGGATGAACTATGACAAAAAATGCTTTCACAACATATCCAAATAGCAGCTTTACTTAAAGAAAAAACCAGGTATGATAATGAAAGTATATGTATGAGGAACCAGAAACCACTTGGATAAAAACCACAGTAGCTGTGGAAGTCATAAAATATGGATCTATTCCACAACAATAAAAATGTGTAAGGTACTGTGATAGGCCTGGGAAGGAGGGGTACAAAGATAATAACAAAATAATCCCTGTCCTTAAGGAACTTACATTATAGTGAGGAGATATAACAAATACACAGATAATACAGAACAAATGAGAAGGGAGAAAACACTAATATAATTGGGGAATCAGGGAAGGATAAAAGGATAAGTTGTCTTGAGTACTAAACGTTGAATAACAAATGTTCTGAAAGGCAGAAGTGAGGAGGAAATACATTCCAGGAATGGGGGACAGCTTGGGCAAATAAACAGAGACAGAAAATGCAATGTCATATCTGGGGGATGGGTTGGGTTGGAACAGAGAGGGTGTGAAGGGAAATAATATGAAGTAAATATGGGAAGGTAAGTTTGTATCAGACATAACTCCAAATTATAATTAATTTTGGAAAGAGGCATCATTAGTCTAGGTAGGCTGCAACATATTACCAACAATGACTTATAGATAGAGATTACCCAAAAGCCACTGAGGGAGAAGGATAGACAACAGTTGGAGAGCCTTAGTGTTACACTGGTAGCTTCAAGATATTAAGTGAATGAAAGGAAAGAATCTAGTGCATGGTAGATCTTTTCTATGGAAATTTTATGAAAAGACATAGTTTAAAAATTGGACAAAATGTGGAAGCATGACTGGATTGTGATCTGAACTGAGCAGAAGTACCAACACCAACAGAATCAGAGCACCAATGAGGTAATAATAAAAAATGGAATCATGGTCTAGATATAATTTCTGCTGGAATACACTGAGGCAAATTTCCCAAAAGAAAATCCTTAAAACACCACTCATCTCTAATGAAACCCCATCCTCTGGAGACAGTAATGGCAACAAGGACTGAGTTGAGAGCTATTCCTAAAACAAGTGGAGCAGATGGTGACAAAAGAGACATACACTAGTAAAAGGAGTATGACATACATACTACAAATATACATAAGATAAGGAATATGGAAATAAATTACAACCACTAGCAATAATGGTCACCTGAACTAGAGGGACCTGAATGAGCTTTTGTTCCTAAGACAGGCCCAACTGCTTATCTATATACTGCTTGGAATTATACTTTTAAGGTGGCTACAATGCTTTTAATAGCACCTTATGAATTCAAATGAAGGGAGTGCAAACGCCATTTTTTTTCTGATCTGGTTTTCAAGGAGGCCTGGTAGAAAGATGTGGGGAAACCAGGAAGCAGTGGCTTACCCATATTTTCTTTCCCCACCCCCACTCCCATTAGAAGGCCAATTTAGAACTAGAAAAGTGACCAGGAGCCAAACAGGAGTGTGAGGCATCAGTTTTCTGTGATGAGGCTGAGGGTGTCATATTAGCCTTAATTGGACCCCTGGGCTCCATAATAGGTGAGACTGGATAGCCTAGGGGCCTTTCTTGCACACTGGTCAATTCTATAGCAAGAAATTTAAAATCATGAGGAGTTTACAGGCCTTTTGATCTCACAAGAGGCATTTAATGCTGAATTTTCTCATTTTCTGGGTTTTGCTTATGTCTCTGCCTACTATCACAATCTGCCACTGCATCACGAATTGTATAGGCATGCATAAATATAACAATGGTATAGTCAATATTGAAACTGTAGCCCCATTTGGTTCTTACTACCTAATGCTGTCTGCACAAACATCCTTAGAAGCTGCTAACTCTTCATATTACATAAGCTGCTCATGCCCATTTTCTATGTCCCTTAGAGGTATAAGGGAAAGCAAGGATCTCTCATCAGGCTTACTCACACAGCACTAATGAGAACCCCTGTTATTACCATATCCTGTTGATTCTATTAAAGAATCCCATGAGTATCTGACATGGTTGGCCAATATGTCAAGCACACTAAAGGGTATGCCAATGTTGGAGGGGGTAGTGAGCCTGGCATCAGAAATTTCAAAGTACTTACGTTATATTTGGATAACTACCGGCACCCTGATACCAGGAATTGAAAAAAAAAACTGAAAACAAAGGGAGGGGGGAAAGGTAAAAACTAAGAGAATTTCAAAGATGGTGTTGGCTCATCCCTAATAGTGAAGAACTATAGTGCTTCTTGTCTAGTTGCATGAATGCAAATTTGTTGCTCCTTAGGTATACTTACCTTTGGAGAAAAGTCCAAAAGTAAATAATTTTGGAGAGAAAAAAGCAATATAAAGGCAGTATCTTGGTGCACAAAATAAATGTGATCTTTATTTTATGTGAGCTATGATATTTGGAGCAATTTTTGAGAGGAGCACTTCAAAACATAGTTATCTTAACAGTCATTAAAATAGGAGAAAATCACTAATTTCTATTTTTCATCTTTTTTCTACTTAGTGGTACGAGTCAAACATGTTAGCATAAAAATGTATCCTTTGCTTAACGGAGCTCAAGTAGTTTGTAATATTGTTTATCTCCAAAGTTATACAGTTTTCCCCAAATAAAGTACAACAGCCACCATTTGGTAATTTATGTCTCCTCTTGATTATCCTAAATGATCCATGTTTTTATCAACTAACAAGTTTTGCTTGGAAATTTGCTGAAGAAGAGACATTTTCAGTGTTATCCAGATATTTTGATGAAAGGAATTATTTATTCTATTTTGTTCTCAGCATGATGAACATGCTTTTTGCTCTTTGGCACTGAAAAACGGTAGATTTTATTTATTTGTTTCACCTCTTTAGCCTTGGATGATTATTTTATTTCCTAAACCATACACCTTTCTTACTTTCATCCCCCCACAAGACGTTTTTAATTAAATAGTTATAGATATTGAACCTCCCCAATGAGCAACAGATTAGAGTTCTTCTGGTCGCTCTTACCTCGCCCATGACTGCTATAGGTGTCTCTCCCGTTGCCTGAGCAACACGATGTTCTACTAAGTAAAACATATATTCATCATACAGCAGACGGATCAGGTGAAACGAGCCAAAGCTAGCAGCACTGCGCAAGGTGAGGTCCCGAATGACCATTGAACTGTTCCAAGAGAAAAGAAACACAGGCAATCAGTGTTACAGGGAGTCAAAGAAGCAGTTGACTTGTATGATCCATTTATGGCAGAAACTTAAACAGACTCTGTGTTTGCTAGCCTTTCAGGTGACAAGGGAAGACTTTTATTACTGAAAAGTATGGTTGGCTCAGATAGTTTGACTAGGGTGCTAATGTGACCATAGTTAGTGGTTCAATTCTTACATGGGCCATATTGCACCAAAAAAAAGAAATGTCATGGCTCCACATGTCACTCTAAATATGCTGTGAACAATGACAGTTTGAGAGGCACCCTAGTGTGCAGAAAGAAAACTGGATTTGAAGTCACAAGACAGATTTAAATTCTGGATCTGCTACTTATTGTCAGTGCAACCTTGGGTAAATTACTTAACATTCTCAGTTTCTTCATCTGTAATATGATGAGGTTGGAATAGATAACTTCTAAGGCCCCTTCCTATTCTAAATCCTATGATCATAGCTACTCATATAATTAAAACCATAATCTACAAGGATACTTTACTCAAACTAGGTAACATGGTATATTATTATCACAACTTCCCAGAATTAGAGTCAATTATTCTGGGAAATGAAGAAACACAGAAACACTATATCTGCTCTAATTTGCATCTTTCTGGATGGAAAAAAAAAATTAGGAGCCAGGCCTATTGGCTATAGAAAAGGGCTGGCAGTCATAAGATCATAGAATTGAGAGCTGGAAAGGCCTTTTGGGATCATCTACTTCAACTTTTTCCTTCTACAGATGAGAAAACAAAGGTCCAGAAAATGAAAGTGATCTGTCAAGGACATACAGCCTTTAAATAGCAGGGCTGGGCTCTGAAAATGAAACTTCTGACTCCAACCCATTACTTTTGGATTCTAATCTATATTGTGAAGTACTAATTTGCTTAAAAGTAGCCTAATAAACAAGACTGCTTTGCCCCCTTCCTTATTTCACAGCATTCAGACATCTTTCTTCACTATCTGCTCCTCCATCCCTGAGGCACGTAAAGAAGTGGGCCTTCTTCTTGCCAAGGTAAATCCTCCTATGCACACAAGTGAACCTACTCCATATTGTGTTCTCCAGAAGATTCCCTCCCCCCCATATTATTTCCATCTTCTCTCTAACTTTCAATCTCTCCCTATCTACTGACTCCTTTTGTATGCATGTATCCCTTTTTATCCTAAAGAACAGAACAAAATAAAAAAAAAACAACCTCACTTGATCCAACAACCATCCTCACTAGATATTGTCCTGTAGCTTCTTATTCTTCTTGCCCGAACTCTTTGAGAAAGCTATTGACACTAGGAGCCTCCACTTCTCCTCTCACTTTCTTGTAAACCCTCTGCAATTAGGCTTCTGATCTCATCATTCAACTAAAACTTCCCTCTCTCAAGTTACCAACTGACCAATCTTCATTGCTAAATCTAATAGCACTTTCTCAGTCCTCATCCTCACTGATCTGCCAGCGAACTTTGATACTCTTTGATATTTGACAATATCCTTCCCTACTACCCTCTCCTGGTTCCCCTACCTGTCTGACTACTCTTCCTCAGTCTCTTTTGCTGGAGCTTCATCCAGACCACACTTACTAATTGTGGTTCCTACCCTGAGTCTTCTTTTCTTTTTTTTTCTGTACTATCTCAGTGATATCATCAGCTTTCATGGGTTCAAAGATCACATGTATGCAGATAATTCTAACCTCTATCCTGAATTAAACTTTTGTCTCACCAACTGCCTTTTAGACATCTTAAACTGGATACTCTGTAAGCATCTCAAACTCGACGTTTCCAAAACAGAACTTATTATCTTTCCCCCCAAACCTTCCCCACTTTCCAACGTTCCTATTAAAGGTCAAGAGCTCCACCATCTTCCTAGTCACCTAAGCATAAGCCTAAGTTGTAAAACCTCATTGCCAACCTTGATTTCTCACTATCTCCCGCTCCATTATTTCTCCCATGTGCAATCCACCATCAAGTCTTCAGCTTTCTACCTTCACAGCCCCTTCACTACACTCATACAGCCACCACCCTGGTGCAGGCCCTCATCACTTCACACCTGGACAATAGCAATAGCCTGCTGGTCTGTCTGAAGTCTGTCCCCGCTCTAATCTATCCTTTACTCAGTTGCTGAAGTTATTTTCTTAAAGTACAAGTCTGACTGTATCTCTTCCCTTCTCAGTGAATTCCAGAGCTCCCTACTACCTCCAAGGTTAAACAGAAAGTCCTGTTTGGCATTTATAACCCTTCACAATCTTGATCATTCTTACCTTCCCAATCTTTTTGCACTTACTTCCCCTCCAAGAACCCTATGGTGTGGCCTCCTTGATGTTCCTTAAATACAACACTCCACCTAGTGACTCCAGGCCTTCTCACTGGATGCCCCTCTTTCCCAGAATGTTCTCCCTCCTCACTTCTTCCTTCTGGCTTTTCTGGTTTCCTTCAGACTAAGCTCAAATGCCATTTTTGGCAAGAGGCTTTTTCTGCCCTCACCCTCTCTTCTCTTCCTATATTGCTGCTAGTGACTTCCCTCTGAGAATATCTTCCATCTGACTCTGTCGGTCTCTCTCTCTATGTATAAATCCCTTGCATATAGCTATTTATTTACATGCGGCCTTTCCCGTTATTATGGGAGCTTCCTGAGGGCAAGGATTGCGTTTTTGCATTTCTTTGTATGTCTAGCCCTTAGCATACTGCCTGGTACATAATAAGAGCTTAATAAATGCATACTGATTGAGTGTATGTGGCTTCTGAAAGAGCCTAGCTGGCAACAAGGGGACTAGCTTAGGAGGTTCCAAGTGTTTTGAGTAACTTCTCATCAAAGAAAACTATAAAATCGGTTGTTTAATGCTGTAATGCAGCATTTCGATGCCAGACTTCATTAAGATGCCATTAGTGGTTCCTTAGTCACATCCAACACACTCCCTAGGTTATTTGACTGTTAACAGAGCTTTCTACAAAATAAAAACCACAAATATATTTCAGCATCAGTTCTTTCACGTACATATTACTGAGTCCAGACTTCAAAATAGTCTGTTTCTCCCCTAATAGCTGTCAATGCTATAATCATGTAAATGACTGGAGAGAAAATTGTTTAATACAATTGCAGATGCTATCAATTAGTTTTCTTCTGCTGTTACAGAAATCTAAAATCTCTTTATTAGGTCCTTTGTAAATTAAAAATATTTTCAAAAAGAATTAATATTACTTGCATAAATAGGAAGAACTAAGTACTGAACTTTGCAGATAAATGAAGAAATGATCTGATTTTCAAGTACAACATCTCTCTGAAGGTTTTTATTTTAAAATAATTCTCAAGCCTGCAGTGGCATTTCTATCTAATATTTAGAGGAAAGGTCCAAAAAGAAAATCAGCTGACACAAAGTGTTATTAGTGTTGTGTATTATATTATTCTTTTCCTGGTGTGTGTCTGCCCTTAGTGTCAAGTATTAAGTGACACAATTAGCAGTTTAATTGGAAACCTATTGTCTGCTTTTGTCTTACATAAGATATGTTTCAATATTGATTCCATTCAATTTGATGTTGCTAAGTTACTGTGTACTTGGTTCCTTATTAGAAGGGAAATGTAATTGTTAATTATTTTGTAATGAATAAGAAATACCTTTATGTATTTATCTTTTTTTTGCTCATAATACCCTAAATTGGAATGCACATATGAATGAATAAGACAGGCTTAGCTCCATTCTTTGAATACCATCAGACAAAAGCCACACCCTTCTCACATATGGAAGTAAGAAAAGGTTACCTTTGTCCCCCTCAGTGCTTGTATTCAGTTCAAAGAAATAATAATGGCTTTTAGAGGGTAAGTTGTGCTGGCGAGGGGAAGCCATAGTCTTTACAGCTTCTTGGCTGCTTTCTAAGCCATTGTATCAGAAAGGTTCAAAGCAATTCAATTTAATAAGCCTTAAGTGTCTACAAAGCTCTGGTACTGCTAAATGCTGAGGAAGATACAAAGTGAAGCCAAAATATGGTCTCTACTCTTGAAATATCTGGATGGATATGCTGTTGGCTTGTCTTTGCTGAGAAGAGTGCCCTATAACGGGGGCTAAATGGCCCAGGAAACATGGCAGAGGACCTGCCTAGATACTGTTTCACTCCTGCCAAAGAAAGAGAACTATTTTGATTTTGGGGGACAGGAGAGTTTTAAATATTAAGTATTTAAGTGACTAGACTAGCTCTATTTGGAATCAGAGGGCAAAACCAGGAGCAAAGGGTGAAAGCTGCAAAAAGTTGATGTGGAAAGTTCTGTCTTAACAAAGAAAGCTGGACAAAAGTGGAATGGACTCCAATATGGGTTCCACCACATTGGAAACTTTCAAGCAAAGGCAGGACAACTATTTAACAAGTATATTATAGAAGAGATTCAGGTATGGATGAGAAATCAAGTGGTATGGCCAGTTACTTGGGGGGAGGGGCAGTATGGTGTAGTGGCAAAATCCCCAAATTTGTAGTTGAAAGACCTAGGTCCAAATCCTAGTTCCTTGACTCACTAGCTGTGTGACTATGAGCAAGACTCTTCAAAACCCATCCAATTAATTAGTTAATGCTTTATGTATACTAGACATTAAAGATAAAAAGATAATACAAAAAAAATTTTGGCTGTCCCCCCCCATTCTAGCTTTAGAATTCTGGGGACCACTGTATTTAATGGTTACAAGAGAAGTTTCACACAATGTTAGAGAAAATGTCTTACATTCAGCTCTCCTTCTCTGATGATCTGGGAATGTAATTTATTACCACAATAGATGTCCTTGTATTATAGAGAAAGACATGTCTGATTCAAAAAGCTCTAAGCCATTGACATTGTCCACCAGCAGGAGGCATGCATCTGCCTGAATCGCTTTTTTTCAATGGCCAATAACTATAAGCCTTCAAATCTTTTTGAAATGAAAATAATAACAATAATTGTATCTAATAATAATAAGCCAATTATCTCCAACTCAGAGAGGATAGAGGGCAGACAAGTGATGATCTATTGGGTTCTTCTATCTGTAGAAAACAAGAAATACAAGTAAGTAATTTTCTTTCAAGATACCTGCACTAGATCTCTGTGGAGACTAAGGCTCCAGGGGTGTCACTAAAAGATACCAACTAAATATAGAAACAAAAAACCAGAAAGGAATACAGCTGGTCTGATATTAACAACCTAAGAAAGCAGAAGGAAGGGGGAAAAAAAAACCCTTGCTTTTTTCTAATATAGAGGATTAATGTGACTTCAACCTCATAGGTTTCTGAAGGCGAAAAATTAGTATGATTCTATTTCATCAATTACCCATGAAGAGCATTTCCTATCTATGCAGTTTTCTAGGGAAATAGGCAGGTGGAAGAAGCAAATATTTAGCTCCAAAGAAATAGAGGAACATCTGAGATTTATACATAAGAGAGATGTTCCCCAAATTGTGAAATTATATAGAAAATACAATTACTATTGTATAACATCAAAGACGCCACTCTCATAATTTTTCATATATATAGGGAAACACGTATTTGCTGCCAATGAACCTTTCAGTAATTAAACCAGATCTGTTAAGACCTAATGAGGACCAAAGTCAGACAGAAAACTTGAGAAGGTTTTTCCCAATCTGTGTGGATAAAAGGAGTGGGCACTAAAATAGCAAATGAACCAATAAAATTCAGCCTAACAGGATTTCCTTTTGTTTTCTTTTTAGTTTTCAACTTTCAATTTTTGGAGGGGGGCAATTGGGGTTAAGTGACTTGCCCAGGGTCACACAATTAGTAAGTGTTAAGTGTTTGGTCTGGGGCCGGATTTGAACTCAGGTCCTCCTGACTTCAGGGCTGGTGCTGTATCCACTGTGCCCCCAACATTCATTTTTTAAATAAGATTTTGAGTTCCAAATTTTTATCTCGCCCTCCCTAACCTCCCCATCCCCAAGACAGCAAGAAATCTGATATAGGTTATACATGTGCAACCATGTAGAACAGCATTTCCAAGGGTTAATCTACTAGAGATAAAGTCTAGAAGCCTTTCTTTTATTGAAATTAAAGAGCTCTGATGTTTGATGGACAGTAGAAAAATAATGTTTGAATAGTTAGAAAATTTTTACTTTAGCTAAACATTTAAGATTAAGCTACGCTTCTCATCTCAACCAACTGAAAGAGCAATTCAATTCAAATAAATTATATTTCTTAAGAACTTAAACAACACATTGGTGCAGAGTTCTGTGCTAGATGCTGAGTGTGAGACAAAGATAATATAAGATTTGGTATCTGTCCTTTTGGAACTTATGACTGAAATTAACTTTCTTTAAAAGTTAAAACCATAAAGATGAAATCCGTGGTATAAGCTTTAAGAAACTACACACACACACACACACACACACACACACACACACCACCTATACATCACTTCCCATTGCCTTTTATACACTTGATAATTCCCACCAATGTACAAACAATAGGGGCTCTGAAACTAATAGTTGTGGTGATAATACTGTATCAAGGTATTGCACAACCTTTTTTGTTTTGGTATTCTCCTATGCCAATTTAAATTCAAGGCTAAATTACTCTAATTTTGAAATGATTCTACAGTACAATTAACTGTCCAGTAGAACAATTTAACAATTTAACTAAATAGCAAAAGCAATTTTGTGTGCTAATGGTTTAAGAAAAACTCTAACCCATTATGTGGTTGGTGAGAATTGTTGCATTTTGCTGACTAGCTGAGTCTTGGCAATTCATATTTGAAAAGGAGTATTCTTCGAGTGTTAGAAAAGCTATCTCATCCACTTATTCGCTTAAATAAATAAAAAGGGTCTTGAGAAAGATGCATTTTTCTACAGGAAAAAAAATATATTTCCACTAGCAGATTTCATGCAACCCCATGACCTTGTTGCCTTTGGGTTAACTTCCTGAACATGGGCAGCTACGTGGCACAATGTATAGAGTCCTGGGCCTGGAGTCAGGAAGACTCATCTTCCTGAGTTCAAATCTGGCCTCAGACACTTCCTAGCTATGTGACCCTAGGCAAGTCACTTAACCCTTTTTGCCTCAGTTTTCTCATCCGTAAAATGAGCTTGAGAAGGAAATGGCAAACCACTCCAGTATCTCTGCCAAGAAAACTCCAGAGTCACAAAGAATCAGATGTGACTGAAGCGACTGAACAAGTCATCTCTAGGTGTTCTACCAGAAATAAATAACATTCCTTCTTTCAATAGAACAGCTGGCATTTTTTTCTATTACTTTAGTTGTTTGCAAAGCCTTTTCCTCACAACTCTGTGAAGGAAGAGCTAGTATACAGAGGTAAGCCATGTGGAACACAGTAAATAGAGTGGTGGCCCTGGAGTCAGGAAGACTTATCTTCTTCAGTTCAAATCTGGCCTCAGAAACTTACTAATTGTGTGACCCTAGGCAAGTCACTTAACCCATTTGCCTCTGTTTCTTCATCTGCAAAATGAGCTGGAGAAGGAAATGGCAAAGCACTCCAGTAACTTTGTCAAGAAAACTCCAAATGGGGTCAGGAAGTGTCGGACAGGACTAAAACGACTCACTCAACAACAGCAACACCTCCCCCCGCCAAACTAAAGATCTAGTATTCTTAAGGATCACAACATTTAGAGTTTAAAGGAACCTGTAGACATTGTCCAGTTTGAGTCCCACATTTTCTACGTGGGAAAACTGAGGCCCTTGTCCATAATCACACAAGTAAAGTAGGAGAGCTGCGATTCCAACCATGGACCTCTGACACTAACTACACAAATATTCTTCTCCTTCCCCATCCCTTTCTGTTCAATAGCATGCATATGCCAAAGTCAAATGTAAAAACATTTTACAGACAACACTAATATGAGGACATGGCATTTAAAAGAATTTAAAATGATACCTGTAGAAAGACCATTTTAGCAGAAATTGCCGCGCAGCTTTAGGAAAACTGGGTCTCCCTTCATAAGGTTTTAGTGCTTGCATCATGACGTTATCGAGCCAGGCAGCCCACTGCTCCAAGGTGCTCTGCTGCTGAAGAGTCATCTTGAAGTCTGTTTCTAGTCTCTGAACCATGTTGTCATCACACTGGCACACCCAGGAAGCCTGCTCCTGTTACAGGACACAGAAAAGTTAAAGAAGCGTAACTCAGTACCTCTTCAATTAACATCAGCACATAAACTATATGCATGAATGGAAAACTATAATGAAAGCTCAAAAAAATTAAATGAATCAAGAGAAAGAGAAACTGCCTTTGCCAGTTGCTAAGGAAACTAATAACACTTGTCACTTTTAGGGGTTCAATATTTTCCTTCTCTCATTCTAATAAGAAAAAAAATGATGAGCCCTAGGAACTCGAGAGGTTTTACTCAGATTGGCTAATCTACATGAGGGATAATATAAATATCAAGCTCCATTAGAAAAAGATGAAACCTGGAAGTGCAATATTCCATTTCTTTAAACTCCACTCAATATAAATGATCATCCTTCTAAAATTTATTTTTATTTTACTAATTTTAATTTTATGTTAACAGATAAAATATTAAACCCAGCTCTTCATTTGAGAAGATGTGTAGGAAGTTAGAGTGTATAAAATATATGCAACTGAATTGGCCAGAAGTGGTCCCTCATGAACAGAATGGAGGTACACTGACATGATTTTATGTAGAAGCATATGCCATATCTTTTATAGATTGGGAACGTAAATCCCAAGGGCTATCAACGCAGCTCTGTTAATGCAAATTAATTCATGGAAGTGAAAAATAAACAAAAAAACCCCACTTGTCAGGAAATGTGGAGATGTGACTTGCCAAAAAAAGTCAACAATCATCTGCAGAGTTCAGGTTATACAATTACTGCATTGATTGTGTGTATGAAACTTTTTGTGCATCTATAGCAATTAAAACCGGAGGGAAAATCCAGGCAGTTTTCTCTTTAGACAATCCTTTTTAATGGTAGTAAAATGATCTATGATCTTCTCAGGGATTGTTTTATCTTAAACATTTAAAAAATGATCCTTCAACAATTTGGGTCAAAGCATAGCAACCAAAGGAAATGTCGATTACAAAGCACTGTCAAGTGAGAGTCAAGAGAAACAGGTCTTAGTCCTTGTTCTGTCGTTGACAAGTTGGATGGCCTTAGGCCCAAGTCACTCTATTTAGATATTATTTTCCTTATCTGTAAAATGAAAGGCTTTGACTGGGTGGTCTTTTAAGGTCACTTTCAGCTCTAAAATTCCATGATTTCTATGGGTAACTCCAAACTTTTGCAAACACAAAATTCTTTAAGTAGTTAGAAGAGAAATAAGACAACTATTCCCTCCTTCCCCCCACCAAGTATGATAGAGTGGCACTCATGGTTCTTTCATTAAACAACCATAGCTCTATCTGGTTACCAAAATGCATCACAGTCACAGTACTGCCATCAGACCTTCATACATACATTTCAATATAATGTCTAATGGGTATTAGTGAGGCTTCAGGATCATGGATCACATTTCTACTTGGGTAGACCTGGGTCAATTCAGCATAGCATAGTGTAGCGCGTGCATACACATGCACAGAGAAAGTATTAAATGACAAAATTATTCATCTAAAAGGTAGGGGGCAATGATTCCTACAAATAATAAATATTTAGACATCCATTCTCTGCAAGGCACTGTGGTAGGGGAAAACAAAGATGAATACAACACAGATCGTGCCGTCAATAATAATAGCTAATGGCTAGCATTTATATAGCACTTTAAGGTTTGCAAAATGATTTCCATGTGCTTATAGTCTACTCGGGAGAAGACAATCTAATGGGAAGAGACAACATGGTGTAGTGGAAAAGACAATGGATTTGCAGTCAGAGGACCTGGGAAAGAATTCTGCTTATTACTTGTGACCATGAGCAAATAATTTATCTTACATGGGCTTCAGTTTCATCATCTATAAAATGAGGGGGTCTGGAATTGGGCAGAAATGGTTGAGAAGTTTGAAGGGCTATTACCTTCCTCCTACACTGCCACCCACTGGCCCCCTTTATAGCATATTCATCTCTTTCCCTGGGACAGGACACTAATGTGATGGTAGTAGATGTCCTTCTGGTGGTTATTATATTATTTTACTATATATTAAGAAGAGTTTGTGGCTCCAAACAATGCTTGCCATCACTATAATCCCCAAATCTATGCCTCAAGTCTGCTGGGAAGAGGGGATGGCACCTGGATATTATCACTAGTATAAATGCAGAGTAATGGCAGAAGTCCCAGCAAGCATGGAGTAGTAGTGGGGGGGGGGGACGGTAAGGGTAGGCGTTGGGGTTTGACCATGAAAATGGTTATTAGACCAAGGAACACTTTTTAAGACTGGATCTCCCTATCTCATTGAAGCTGGAAGTACAGCAGCCACTCGTTGGCCTGATCCTACTGCTGATCAGCATGGATGCCTTGATCTCCTCAGATCCAGGGTGGTTTGACCCTCTTTAGGCAGACTGGTAGCACCCATCCTACCTGTCCTGGTCCTGAAGGCTTACCCAGGTGCTGTACTTAAGTTAGGACACCCAATCAGCTTATCCCACTGCAACTCAGAACTCTTAAGTTCAGCCAATCAAAACATCCTCGTCTTCCCCAGGAATGGGCTACCATAACTGCCTAGGGGAATGCTCACAGCTCTAACTGAGCCACCAGCAGTACTGGCTCATCTCAATGCCTCTTGTGACTTGTTTCTCCGAGTTTTGATTCTTGGCTCTGGGTCTTGCTCTCTTTCTCAGGATCTCCTGTGTCCAGATCCTGTGACCTGGCCCCTTGTTCCTCCTTTAGATAGCTCTCCAAGCATGATGTGGCTTGTTTAATGGCCGTTGACAGTAAAACTTGAGTTCCATTCATGTTGGTTTTCAACAACAGAACTGTTCCAAATACAGGCATACATATAGATGAAATTTCTTTTGGTCTGGATCAGGGATCTCATTGATACAGTGAATGTCCCTGTGAGGAAACTCCTCCCATCAAAGCCCATCAGCAATTTCTCTACAATTTAAGTCTTAGAGGGCTGTCTGCCAGCACTGAGACTTTGGTGACTTGCTCAGTCACAGTGCCAATTTTTGTTAGGAACAGGTTTCAAATCTAGAACTTCCTGATTCTGAGGCTTGTTCTCTATCTGCTATGCCATGCTGTCTCATATAGCTACATCTACATCTATAGCTACCTGTCTTCAAAATGAAGAAAAATGGAAGCCTTTTCCAGGATAATGGTGAATAATCATCAATTAATGCTGTGTTCAATACTATGAGGGCAGTGAGGTGGCACGGTAGATAAAAGTACTTGGCCTAGAGTCAGGAAGACTCATCTTTCTGACTGTAAATCTGGCCTCACACACTTCCTCACTGTGTGACCCTGGGCAAGTCACTTAATCCTGTTTGCCTCAGTTCCTCATTTGTAAAATGGGCTGGAGAAGGAAATGGCATACTACTCCAGTATCTTTGCCAACAGAACCCCAAATAGGGTCATGAAGAGTTGGACACAACTGAAAGGATTGAACAACAACAATACTATGAGGTATTTGCCTTGAAACTGAAATTGTTATTTTTCTTTTTCTTGGGAACTTCTAAAAGTATATGAGGCATGTTTTTTGAGTTAAAAAAAGAAATGTATAAGGCTGGATCGAAAATCTGTAGTGGTTTTTAGCATATAGGAAACAAGTTATAAATAAATTAGAATATACATTTGGAAATAAGGAGTTTTCATTATCACTAAAATTAAACAGTCAAATTCTACTAAAATATAGAAAGTGATTGATTTTAGTAGCCTCACACAAGACATCTGTCCTTATAAGATGGTACATGTAGGAGTGGGAAAGGATTAAAAACCTTTGAACCTGAAGCATGAACGAAAGATCAGTTGAATTCTATTAACTTATTGACTCCCAAAATGAAACCTAATCCATCTATTAATATTTGATTGAGCTGAGAATTTAAATATATTTTATTTAGAGAAACAACAACAATACAGATAATCGCCTCAAAGTTAAAAGCTAAATATAAGTTTAAAACTACTTGACCAGAACAAAAGTGGAAAATCAAAATTTTATCCAAACAGAACCAATATAGAATTTGGCTTATATCACTGATGTAATTACATTCTGGCCACATCTACCAACATATCTTAAAAATAAAATGTTAGCTTCAAAAAAGAAATGCTCATTTGGATCCCATATTAACAGTCTTAGTTTTTTTTTTTTAAGTCAGTTTTTCAAATAAATGTTTCTCCTCAAAAGTGAATTTTTTATCACTATGGTCAAAAATATGCTTTTGGGGGGGGTGCTGTTAAAACAGTCAAGCATCTTCAAAGCATATCCTCCTATTTCGTTCACTGGGAGGCACAGATTATGGTGGAATCGTGATCTTGTCTGCTTAGGCAGTAAATCTGTGCAGAAGTTGTTAGACCTAAAATAGAGAGGTAATAAAGTTATGTCTGAGTGAACTTTTTTCCTAGTGATTCCATGAATATGTCCAGATGGAACGATGAAGATAAATTCTGTGTTCCAGACCAAGGACACAGCAGAAGATATTTCCTTAAAAAGATCATTCACGAAGCCACGGTTTACCTGGACATTGGCAAAATCAACACGGTTGAGGTCATTGAGCATCTGGTTGATTTGAGAAGTGTTCTGGAGTACGGCGCGAGCTGCCTGAGCCAGGTGATTAAGCGATGTGTATCTTCGCAGAGTCTGGGCAAAGGCACTTACAGCGGCAACCTGCAAAGAAACCCAGTTGGCTTTGGATTTTTTTTTTCTTATGGAAAAGAAACCACTGGTATTTTTCTAATCTGCCTTGACTCGCCAATTTCTTATGCTCCATTTTGACATATTTTACATTCACCCTTGTAAGAGAGCTCATTTATGGATTGTAGTATTTAAATTTCTAATTTAAATTTAATTTTTTAATTTTTTAAATTTAAATTTAATTTTTTAAATTTAATTAAATCTAATTTAAATTTAAAATTTCAGGTATAATTTCCCTAAGATTAAAAAAAAAAGTAGTTTGAGGTCAAGACTCAAACAAGCTCCCACATTCTTTGACACAGGAGCATTAATTAACCAGACTTGCCAGTAATCATGCATTCACATCCAGAAATGACTTACTCTGGAGAAGCTGAAAAAAAAGCTCATTTAATTTCCTTTATTCTTTGAATCACATTCAGATAGAAAGTGGGTTATTAAAAATTTGCGAGAACTGGTCTATGTATTAACTATACATAGAACAATTCTTAAGCAGGTAAAAAAGAGAAAACCTTGCCAGGACCCTGCCAATTAGGTGTATTCTTTTATCATATACTATTCTATAGAAATATAAGTAAGATGAGGTGCCAAAATTTTACAGCTTTTTTGGGAGGGAAAGGAAGGAGAAGTTCTGCTACTAATGTCTTCCTCCAATGCCCCAAGCTGGCATGGAGACCCTGGGTTCTCCAAGGCTGTGCCAGAAATCCACAAGTGCTGGAATGTCATTCTCCAAACTGGTAGGCAACCTGGTATCCGGTACAGCCCGGTACAGTGGAATGAACATTGGCTTTGGAGTCAACTCTTTCTAATCTCCCTGGACCTTAGTTTCTTCATCTGCAGAATGGGGGGAAGTGACTATATGGCCTCTGAGAGCCCTTCCTCTAGACCTTTGTGACATAGAACTATTATCCTATGAAAAATATGGGCCTGGCGAGAGACTGTGTCTTTTGGTTACGAATGAATAGGCTGGCAGCCATTTTTTTTTTTGGCCACAGCTCATGAAAACTATGTCAAGGTGCAGAAGGGTTGTGATCTGAATCTGTGGAGAGTGTGCCTACGATGACAAAATCATGGATCTTTTGAAGTACAGTCTTTGGAAATAGGCTTCTTATTCTAGACTCGCAATTGGAACATACACACTTAAAATAAATTATTATAAAAATGTTATATCTAAAATGCTGACCATAATGTATTACATAAAACCCATATGGAACCTTATATCTCAGGGAAATATGTTATACATATAACACCCCTTGAAACCTCATGTATCCAGAACATGAGCAAAAATGTACGTTGCAAAGAAAGTTACAAGAGGTGTGCCAAAATGTGAACCTCACTGAACATATGAACATGGGGAACTGGATGGTGCTTCCAATCCTTATCTTATAAAGTTATCAACCTAAAGAGAAGACCACCACTTTTAAGCTCCAGGGTTACGTGACACTTAGTGGAAACTGAGGAAATAGGTTCTTTCAGCTGGATCTCTAGCTGAACTCCAGTGGATTCTTCCTATTTCCCTACATACATGCTCAGGTCTCTTCAGTTCAGAACATGAGTACTATTAGGGGATTTAGTATCAGCCTCGTTAAGAAGCCTCTGATATTTGAAGGGGTTAGGGTGCTCAAGAAGTTCAAGTAATAAGTGAGAGCATTTCAGACATGGAGGACACAGTCTTTGCAAAGGCGTGGAAGCAGAAGATGGATTGACGTACACATAGAACCGACTGGTAGATTAATTACTGTGTTGTTCCCCAAGAATCCAAATTTTCTAGCTGGATGTCACACCTCATGTCTCAAATCCTTAAACTCAACATTGCCTAATTTGTCAAGGAGCTGTGATTATCTTAGTCTGGAAACTCTCTACACTGATACAGATTACAATTTATCCATTACTCAGTAGTAAATCTTAAGAGATTCATCTGGAGTTCATAAAGGATAAGTGATTTATCCTTGGTGTCAGGGTAGGATTTGAATTCTGGTCCTCCATATGCCATGTCAATAGTCAACACACCTTCTTGCCTACAGCATTTCCCAAACCAGACCTATCTTTCTCTATAAACATATTCTTCTCCTTACGATTTTACTATTTCTTTCTTTGGAATTACCATGGACTATGCCTGCAACCTTAGGTCATCTTTGACTTTTCCTACATCCTCATCTTTCATATACAAACAATTACCACATCCTACTAATTTTACCTTCAAATTTTCTTTTACATTAATTTTCCTCCTCTCTATTCTTATAGTCATTATTCTAGCACAGGCTCTTCATGGCCACTGACTTGGACACCACCATAAGGGGTCTCCTGCTCCTACTCTTTCCCCACGCAGTTCATTGTATTGTCAGTCTCATGACTGGAATTCAAGGCCCTTCACAATCTGGCACCATCTTACCTTTCCACTCTTCTATCATTCTGTTCCATGAATTCCATGCTCCAAAGTGGACTTCTATATTTAAAGTAACATACTCTGAATTCTCTACACCTTTGGTCATATTATTCTTAATACCTTGAGTGTCCTTCCTGCCTATCTTCAGCTGTTGAATCTTTACCCATCCATTACAACCAAACTCACATGCCACTTCTTCCATGGAGACACCTCTAATGTTCCAGGGCAGTAATGACTTTCCCCCTTGGGCCTTAAATAGCATTTTGTTTTGTACTTCTCTGGTGAAATTATCAGGTAATGCCATATATTGTAACTTCATATTTCTGTCTTTTATTTGTTAACTATAAGCTCCCTAAAGGCAAGGACCATGACTTTTCTAAACTTTTGTATTGCTCCAAGTATCTATCACCATGCTCTGCAAATAGTAAGCATTAAAAAAATAAGTTACTGAACGAACTCTCCAGAATTAGAAAATGTATCAAGTTATTATTACTCTTAAGTAGCACTTCTTTGTCTCCATGTGACACTATATAGCTGGGTTCCCAAATTTTTAACCCAATGAAGCAGAATTGTTGTGAAGTTCAAATGAGATGGTGCATGTAGAGCGCTTTGCAATCCAGAAAATATAAATGCCAGCTATTACTAGAGATATAATTACTTAAACACTTGATGTTTCTCTGGGTTATGCTTTCAACTATCTGCATTTCAACTAATCCTCCTCTGATGCCCTAGTATGACGTGGTGGTGGTTCTGGGTTACTGAAGACTATGTTAGTAAAGATCAAGTTCTGGCAGGTTTCAATCAATCAACAAACATTTATTAAGTGCCTACTATGTGCCAGGAACAATGCTAAGTGCTGGAGTTACAGTGCTAAGCGTTGATTTCAAAAGTGGATCTGGCAAGAGATGGTAATGTCTGTCCTCTGAGGGTTAGCCCAGATAATTTCAGCAGAGCTCATGACTGAGTGAGCTACAGAGGTGACACATTTTTCAGTGAGACATAAACTCTACTAAGTCATGGAAGGGTTGAGATTTGCAATAGTGGAGGAGGTATATGCATTAACACAACTGTGGAAACTGGAAGTCCTTGAGCATTTTGTAGACTAGATTGATGATGTGTTTGTTAACTTTATTACTTCTGGAAATCTTTCTCTACTTTCTTTTTGAAAATTTTAACTAACACTTGAAATCTATGAACTGTTGAATTTGAAAATGAAACAATAATGCAAAGACTTCATTAGAGAAAATGAAAGCTTTTGAGAAAGTAACACAAAAAATCCTACATATCTACCATACAGGTTATGTTACACAATGCCACCTGGGAGATGAAATGTAAAGACAACGGTTCAAAACAATTTCCAAAAGACAAAAGGAAGGGCACAGCTAACATAATGTACCTTGGTTTGTATCATTCTCTGTGGAATATTGTTCATGGCATTGGAAAGCCAACCTTCAAGGCTTTTTGCAAAATTGCGAATGGCTTGGGTCAAGGCACCTAAATGTTAAAGAATAAAAACAGAATGAAAAGGAGCCAAATAACAATATCCTTATGTTGGGGTAAGAAGGGTAGGGATTGTAGGGGAACATATAAACATACAATTTGAAATACTCCTGAGAATTTTCATCTTCTACTTTGATAAGCATTTAATATATATTCATAACTCTGCTCTGCCTCCATGACTTACTTCTTGGAGGATATGGATTTAATTGCTTCACTCCTAGATTGTTATTATCCATCAGTGGGAAGCCCAAATATTCAAACATTTGAGTGCAGCAACATATACCAGTTGTGAATATAGTTATAGACTTTTCTACTTTGAACAGAGCATTTTTCAGCAACTTTTATGCTCAGTGACTGAATATCCTCTTTACAAATTCAGTAGAAAGGATTCTTGTTCAGTTATAGATTGGACTAGATGATATCCGAAGTCTCTTCCAACTCCCATATTCTGTGATCTTTTTTCCAGTTCCTAATCCAGCCTAATAACATAATCTCAGCAAAAGGCTTTTGACTTGTGCCTCTCAATAAATTGGGGACTTCAGGTGGAGAACTGAGGCTGTTTTCTAAAATTTTCCTCTGACATATTTTGGTAAACGAGGCACAAAGTTATTTTGATGTGGGTCTGGACAATTTAATCAGTTCTTCATTTTATTTGGCATATATATACACAGAACAAGTGTAATGAAAACTGCAGCCAACCCAGATGAGAATTCTCGAAACCGTCCAGTCTAAGAATTACATATTGTATTTTCTGCAGTATGTAATAGGGACAGACACCTCTGCCCCACGACTCTACATTTTAGGCAGGCTGTGAAGTGATAGGAACTTCCTTGGTCATAAGGGAAAAGGACTAGTGTATCTGGCAGGTAGGGCCAGCATTCACAGAGTCTGCTCCCTAGCTACACGGATTCTATACTTCTTCAGCAAGTAATAAGAAAAACGGACGCAAATAATACTAAGCCTTCAGGGCACCACTTTTATTTTTAGGCTGAGACTATGTGGTAGGTAAATAAAATGCTGCTTCAATTTTCCTGGCTTTGTGATTTGACTTTATTTGTGCCCAAGGCTCTGAAAGAAAGGGAGCAGCTTTAAATAACTAATAAGTAAGTATCCCATGCACCTTACAATCATAAAATTAATCTATGGATACCCCTGTGTGGTAGGTGGGTATTTTAATCTCTCTTTTACAGATAAGACCCCAGAAAGTTAAATGGTTTGCCCAAGGCTGAAAAGCAAATTAAAAGCAACCCTGGGATTAAATCCCTTGGTTTTCCAGGCCAGTACTCAGACTAGTCTGACATACTTCCTCAACTGACAATGGCCTTTGTTTAAGAAAGTTGAGAAATATGTTAACAGTGCAAACTAGTCCCAAAACAAACAACTTATTCTACTTTCTATAAAATAAAAAAAAATTATCCTTTTCTTTTTGTATTATTCAATGGGACAAATGATGGATGAACTTGAAACAGTCTGGATTTTGATAGAGAAAAGCGGCCTCAAAGATGGAAGATTAAGCAAATCCTTAATCTGTATAACAGCATTGGAAATTTCTTGAGAACTGATCTTTGTCTTGAAATTTCCATAGCTTCCTGCTTTGTCAAAGCTGGGAAGCTTATGAAAAAAATTTGCCTTGCTGTGTTATGCACTAGAATCATGGAGGATAGGTATGAATGAAAATGAAAAAGAGTAACAAAAAAACCAACCTGTTTTTGAAGCTCAAGAAAATTTGGGTTCAAGATACAGATTCAATTTGGATCTCATTTTACCCAAATTAATTTGATGTTCAAGAGGCTAGGAAAATAATTACATTTATTTTGTATCTTAGAAATAATGAAAATAACTTGGAATCTTTCCCCTGTTGCACAAGAATGAGATCCTGGCTTGTTAATTATGCTTACTGATAATTGAGTGCTGAACTTGTGTCACTAATTGTGCTTGGAGAGATTCCTTATATTTAGCAACTTCGCATTTTCAGAAAACTGAATTTTAGGATCTAGTATTTGTTAATCTTACTTCAAATTAATGTGATGGGCAAAGATTTTTTTACACCAAAAAAGGAACCCCATCTGGACAGAAAAAAAATGTGTCTCTTCTGTTATGAAGGAAAAAGATGGATGGCAGAGCTATGTACTAGTAGTCGCCAGGAAAAGAAATTCTTCATTGTAAAGAGAAGTTAGTTTGGTCTTTCTATAAGAATTTATGTATAATAAAAAATTGTGCAGATTGACTTTGACAAATCTTAAAATTCTTGAATGGATTGTTTGAAATTCAAAGTCTATTCCAAAGCCTACTTGTCTCAACCTGTTGAAGGTTAATATTAAAATGCATATATTCAAAAGATAGCTATCTAAAATGTATTTTGAGCTTTTATTTCTTTGAGCCTCATTGTAGCATGGGAATGAAAGCTTGAAATTTCTTTGGAATGGCTGCCTCTTAATGCATCTGTTGGTTACAAAACAACTCTGAAATTGTAGTTTTATAAAAATTTCTGAAGCTTATTTGTTCACTGAAACTCGTGGGAGGCAATTTGACAGAGCAAGTTGGCCTTTCAAACATACAATTTACAAAAAAGAAAGAAAAAGTTTGATCTGCCTATTATGGGAAGCAGTGGTCATTTAAGAAGGTGCAAAAAGTTAACTTTAGAAGTTCCTTTTATTTCCCTGAGTCAAACTTCTGTTGTGTTAAGCCAAACACGAATGATTTTGGTTTTCTGTATTTAGAATGGTGTGGGTTTTTTTTTAAACCCTTACTGACATCTCTCCATCTATCTCATGAGATAAATTGTGAGTAGGCAGTAAGATGTCATAGGCTAATGAGCTCCCCTATAAAACTTCTCTTAAACATCTCTAGAGAATACCACTCGGTGCACAGGGAGCAAGAGGAAGGCAAGGGAAATCAGGTACTGGAACAGAAATCAGTACAACATATGCACACTGAAATTTTCCATGACAACGTCACTTTTAATCAATCTTTAATCAGGAAAACTTGTGTAGATGGAATGGCAAATTAAGTCAGAGGACTTTCTTTACTCTCACATTGGGAACTTAATTAAATTCCTAGTTCTGTTGGTGATATTCTTAAACTTGAATTTAATTCCTTAAAAAATGAAGGCTTTTGTGTTTGTTTGCTAAACATATGAACTTGAGATAAAGACAGTTAAGCTATTTTCCTGACATTTATACATAAATCCATATGCATATCCATAGATTACCATACAAACATAATGTGGATAGACATGCACTAAGGTGGTAGGAAGAATGAAAGAATTACCACCAATAAAAAAAGTGTTTATTTTTCATGGCCTCCATTAATTTCTGCCACATTTAGAAATAGATGAGGTTAAAATGGACAAATGTGATATGTTAATCTCCTGACTTTCTGTTCTACCAAATCCCTATTTATTTTGTTGAAAACATTAACAATAGCTGCCTATGAGCAAGTACACTTCAAGTCTATGCTTTCTAATTTCTAAAGCTAACATTCTTTTTACCTCCATTAACGTGCTTAAAGAGTGGAAGCTCTGTTCCATTTCATTAACAAGTTAAGGTCAGTCGCATCTGCTCACAAAGATGTAGGTGTAAAATTGTTCTCAACTGCCTCTAACAACCAGACTGCTTAGTAGCACTTATATTGACATCTGTAGAAAATAGCTTTGTTTGCTACAAGGTAGTTTGAGGCACTATCTCCTTTAAAAATAATCTAACTTATCTGTGTAATGCCTATTGTTTGGTTCATGGTGGGAACACAAAGCTTGTGTAGTTACATAGATTTTTCTCTCAGAATACTGTTAACCATTACCATTAATGGAAGCTACATTTGTAGTTCTTAACATGACGGACGTGACAGAGTAAATGCTTTTATAAAGGAATTCAACTTCACTGGAAACCGAGGTAAATTAGCTTGATATCAAAAGCAACCAGAAAAGAGACTGGCCTAGCAATTACAGATTTCAATAATTTTCACTTGAAGAAGGGAACTGTGCTTCCAAGGGAAATAATTCAATAATGGTTGACTGGTCAAGGAGTAATCTTGCAATTAGTTATTGGGGCTGTCACCCGTCTGCTTAGTTGGCTTACAAGAAAGAGGCATGACAGATTGGAAAATAGGTGAGTCAGGTTAAAAAAAAAAATACAGCTTTTATACTAGTCTGCTTTAACGCACTACTCCATAATATTGTAGGCTTTTCTGTTTTGCAAACCTGAATGAGATTCAGACACAGAATCACTGAGATTTTTTCAAAGTCAGTTCCCAAAACTTCCTGGGAGTTATGTACGAGAACAAAAGAATCCTTACTTGTCTGCATTTAACTTACTAGGAATAGGTCTAAGGACGTCGGGAATGAGAATCTCCACCAAAGCCTGGTACATCCCATGGTCACAGTTACACATCCATTTCAGAATAGACTCATTTTTGCACAGAGTTATCAGCTTTGCTTTCGGAAGTCGGCTTTCTATTTCACTCAGATTGCTGGCGTGAATAAATGTCGCAAATGAATAGATGGCAAATGAGGATAAAAAAAAAGAATAATGGGCTTTTAAAATATTTGTATTGAATAAAATACTATAGAGGTTAGACTATACCATCATTGCACTGGTGCCACATAGCTAGGATAAAGGGCTCCCCCCAAAGCTCTCTACTTACTTTCAAATTTTCTAAAGACATGTTGACTGGTTACTTTTTTTTTAATAGGAAAGGGGGAAGATGTCTACTGCAGTCACCCGAATCAGTAAAAATGGGAGCTATATGGAGAAGCTAAACCTCAAAAGAGCAGTTTGTGGTATATTTATATCATAGTCAAAATGTTAGCCTATCAAATTAAAGTTATCAGGAAAGGTTCACAACTGGTATACATATCTCTATATTGTCAGATCTGTTCAGTTACAATAGTAAATCAGTAAAGTTTTTGGATTCTGACCTGGATTCAGTAATGGTAGTACCATCAGCTGGAGTGGAGGGAGAATAACGCCAGAAAGTTTGCCACAATTTTTCTATCAGGCTAAACTGAAGATTCACAACAACATCCAATATTGCCTAAAAAACACAAATCAAGGGCAGGTGACCTTCCTGTTATATTTACATCAACCAAAAGGAATAGAGGTTTACATCTGGTATATAGATGAGTAGAGTTGTTTTTCTTTTATAACTTAGCATAGTATAATGGTAAGATATAGCTACTTCTAGTCACTTTGAGTATTAGATGTTTCATCAGGAAATTTCTTCAGAACCTGCCAAAGATATATGAGAACAAAGGAAAGTTGAACTACTAAAAAGACAAGGACATTGATTAAGAAAAACTGACCAATTCCTTTCAAAATTAAAAAGTCAGCTAATGCTTTCAAAGATCTCTAGTTGGTGGTTTTTTTTTTTTTTTGGTAACTTGATCTTCTCCCTACCCTGCCCCTTCACCCTTTTTTTCCTCTTCATCCACATCACCTCTTAGGTTTCATCCTTCTTTACGATTTTTCCCTTTTCCATATTTTCCTTTCTTTGGCTACTATACTTGTATTTCGCAAGTTCAGATAGTTATAATCTAACCTTTACTTCATATCGTCCTGTTATGACTTATGTTGTCCTAATACCATATCTGTTAGGAAGCCTTCCCCAGTCCCCCAGCTGTAATCTCCTTCCCATCTGAGATAACATTCCACATACTCTGAATATATCTTCTATATACCTATTTTTATTTTCATGTTTGTCTCCTCTATTAGAATGTATGCTCCCTGAGGGTAAGGATTGTCTTTGCTCTTACTTGTATCCCTAGCATGGAGCTCAGTGCCTGATACGTAGTAAGCACTTCCTAAATGCTTTTTGATTGACTGTGATGGAAAACACACCTAGGTGCCTCTTGCATGTCTGTCATCCAAAGGCAAACCTATCTAAGTCCACAGAGGTTTGGAACCAGGCTGGCTTCAAAGGGATGCATTTTTTAGGCACAGCGAGTCATGAGGACTGTTTGCTAAAGGATGGAGGAGTTGCAGTCTATATTTGTGGAGGGGGTACCATACTGATGAAATGATAGGTTCTCAAAATACAGATGTAAGAAGTATTGAATGTGGAAGCCATAAAGAGTGCATTGGGTGTCTGTGGTCAGGGCTACATGCTAGCAAGATTCAGAACAATGCTTTTGATTCTACCCCTACTGTTTCATTTTAGGATGGATAGAACCAGAAAGACATAGAGTAAAGGTTACTGTGTCCCCGCCCCCCATTACAACAGTGCTACAGTAGGGTAGAGGGCATCATGACAACTGTCACACTTCAGTGCAATTAGCACCCCAAATCCAAAATCAGAGGAACCACTACACTCCAGTACAATTCAGTAAATAAATATTGCCTTCTTGTGTATTAGGCAGTGGAAAAACAAACAAAACAAAATAGACCATCCACCCTAAGACTCTCTCATCAAGATTCTATTGGCTTTTGCTTTCAGGATCAAATATCAAGCCCTACGTTTGACTTCTATAGTCAGTAACAACCTGGCCATTTTCTACCTTTCCATTCTGCTTACATTCTCTGCCCCTCCGCACACGTTAGGACCCAGTGACACTGGCCTCCTTTCCGGTTACTTATGTGGGACTCTGCATTTTCACTGGTTGTCTTCTGGGCCTAGAATGTTCTTCTGATTCATCCCCTTCTCCGAGCTTCCCTGGCTTTCTTCATCTCTCACCTCAGTGCCTGCAAAAGGCCTTTCACTGTGCCTTTTAGTGCTGGTCACTTCCTTATGAGATTACCTCTGATTTACCCTCTATATCTATGTCTGTGTCTGTGTCTATCCAGTTTGGCCATAGTTGTCTGTTTGTTGCTTCCATTAGAATGTGAGCTTCTTGAGGGCAGGGGCAATGTTTCTGTCTTTCTTTGTATCCTCAGTGTTTGTACAGTGCCTGGCCCATAGGAAGTGATTAATAAATGCTTGTTCACTCAACTTGACTTAATGGGCTATGTAGCTTAATAGCTATGATGGGAATACTCACTTATAGAGACATATGTATAAATGGCTATGATGTAATAAGGGAAAGTGAGATGAAGTACAAAGGTATAAGTTCAGACAAAGTGCTTTTAGAAATCTGAGGAGGGTAAGGAAATGGGAGAGGCTTGATGGAACAGCTGGCACATGAGCTGGGCCTTCAAGGAAGGTAAGGACCTTAGCAGATGGAGATTGGGGAGAGGGTAAGACCAATTCCATGGATACGAAATACTAGGAGTAAAAACATGAAAAAAATGGAGAAGGCAAGCCAGGAATGGGGGGCACAGAGTAGTCCAGTTTGGCTGGACAGCTGAACATATGAATGAGAGTAGTCTGTGAAAAAACCATGGAGGATTAGGAGCTATACACAGTGTCAGGGTCAGGTCATATTTTATTACATAATAATAATATCTAACTTTATACAGTACTTGAAGCTTATTTAAGCAAAATGGAGACCCAAAATATGGTTTCTGAGGAGAGATGTGATCAAAATGGCATATTAGGAGGATTTCTCAATCAGTGATATGATGAATGGATTAGAGAAGCGGAATGGCCTTTTAGCCTTTGTTTAAAATTCTGCAGTGAGGAGAGGTAGCGTGTTCCATTTTTAGATAGGCACAACCATTAATAACCGTTAAGTTTCTTTCCCCCAACATCAAGCCTAAACTTTCTTTTTGGGAACTTATATTCATTATTCTTAGTTCTACCATTCTGGAATCAAATAGGATAAATTTAATCTCTCTTCCATATGACAACCTTCAAAAACAAGAAGATAGTTATTATGTCCTTCCCAAGCCTTTTCTTCTCCAGGCTAAAAATTAATTCCAGTTTCTCCAACTGATCCTCATGTGGGATGAACTCAAAGCCCTTTACTATCCTGAATATACTTCTTTGTGTGACCTCTCTAATTTACTAAGATCTTATCTAAAATGAGACATTGAGAAGGCAGCTATGTGGTGCAGTGGATAGAGTACCAGCCCTGAAGTCAGGAGGACCTGAGTTCAAATCCAGCCTCAGACCAAACACTTGACACTAGCTGTGTGACCCTGGGCAAGTCACTTAACCTCAATTGCCTAAAAAAAAAAATAAGACATTGAGAAGTGAATATAATACTCCAGATGTGGCTGGACCAGGGAACAGGACAACAGAACTCCCATGGAATGATCCTGGAAGTTCTGTCTCTTAATATAGCCCATGATGTTCAGGGTTAAGAAGGGTAACTGGTAGAGATAAGATTTGGGAGTCATTTGCGTAGAAGGAATAACTGAAGCCCTGACAGTCAACACAGTTGGTAAAGAGGAGAGAGGAGAGAAGGTAGCCAGAACCATGGAATAGGGAAGAACAGTGAGAACAGAACAGGTTTGATAAAGATTAGGGAGGAATCTAGGGAGTGAAGTCATGATGAAAAACAATGAGTTCATCAAGGAATTAAGGACAGGAAGAAATGAAAAGATCAGGGATCTTAACCACCAGGAGATGTCAGAGTTCAGGACTTTGTAGGTAGTTTTGAGAGAAGAGCCTGAAATTAAGTGAAGGTGGGGATAACAGGAGTTGAAGAGTTCAAGAAACTGTGAGAATGGCATGTCAGGAGGTTCATCATTGCAGATACTGAAGTTTCCAAAGAATATGAGAGCAGGAAGGAGTGGAGAGGAAAACTGTGAGCCAGGATCCAAAGGAATAGAGAAAGGTGAGGGAGTGACCAGCAGGTTGGTTGAACAGACAGAAGAGGATCAAGGGAGGAAGGTCAGGTGTCATGAATTTCAAAGGAAGTAACTTCCATGCCTTCCTTCTAAGATTATTTTCCATGTACACTGTTTATATCTTTTACTTATATAGTTGTTTGCATGTTGTCTCTTCCATTAAAATGTAAGCTCCTTGAGGGCAGGGATTGTTTTTGGTTTTCTTTGTATCTCCAGTGCTAAACCTGTCACAGAGCTTAATAAATGCTCATTGACAAAGTGACTGACAATATATGCCCTTATTTAGGCCCTGACCTTAACTTCCTTTTTCTTAGTTTGGTGGGCCAATACAAACCTCCAGCTTCAACAAACATGTAGGATTGCATTAAAAATGGTCAATGCTTATATTAACTTTTGATTATTCTTTTTAAATCTCCCTATAGCATCCAAATTAATTTATAAATTAGCCTCAGGATAATAGTAGACATAAAAACCTGAGAATTATTCCTTTATGTAAAAAAAGGAATTTAGACTGAATGTATTTAATAATTCGGGCCCTAAGAACTGATAGAATAACAGCAAAAGGAATGTATCTGAGAGAAGCAGAAGAGCCTAGTTAGCTGGTGAACTTTGGGCACTATAGGAAGTCAATCTGGATTCTTTAGACAAAGGAAAAAAAAAACCTTAAATTTGGTGTTTAACTATCTCATTTGTTCTGGATGTATAGATCAACACATATACATGATACAAATTCTTAAAAAAAAGACACTAAGCTCAATTTACAAATATAGAAAAAGATACTTTGAGGGGATACTCTTTTGGAAATCAGTGGGAAATATGACAAAAATAGGAAAGTGAAAATTGAGGGAAATCAATCCTTTTGATATGTCAACAAATAATTGAATTAATTTCAATATACATTTATTAAACACCTACTATGTACAAAGTGTTATGCCCCTAAGGAGCTTGTTATCTAATGGGAGGGATAGATATGCAAGTAAATAAAGCACAAATTAGCAGTAAAGAAAGGATCAAGACAACACTTTCTATGAAAATTTGAGAAGGAAGAGTTCACTTGCAGTTAGAGGAATCCAGGGAAGCTTCATGGGAGAGGTGACACCTGAGCTGGACCTTGAAGGAAGAAAAGGATTTCAATAGATGGAGATGAAGAGGAATGCATTCTAAACATGGTTGGGGGTCACGGGGTTGGTAACCTGCATGAGTGCAAAGAGGAAAGGGAATGGGAACGCAAAGAGGAAAAGGGACTGCAGAACAGCTAGCAATCTAGTTTGATTGAACTCTGTGTGTGTGTGTGTGTGAAGGGGAATATTTTGAAATAAGGCTAGAAAGGTAAGATATGGAGGACTTTAAATGTCAGGTTAAGGAGTC